AGCTACGTACTGCTACATTTTTGGTATTTTCTACATAATATCTGACAAGGCAAGTTACATAGATTTTTAAGGATCAACTCGAAAATTCTACCCAATGTTTTTTAACATTGGTAGGATGTTTGATATATCCTCTGTTTCAAGATAATAGGCAAATATTGCATACCAAATCTTCCAGATCTTTTTTGCTTTCTTCAACTTCCTCTCCTTCCTCTTCCGAATCTTCAYTGAGATCAATACGGATTCTTTTTCTAGTAGGCTGCTTATCCTTATTACTCGTTCCAGCATTGCTAGTACTTGTTTCTGCACCACTAGTACTTGTTACTGAGTCGCCAGTGCTTGTTCCTGCGTAACCAGTACTTGCTCCTGCATCGCCAGTACTTGTTCCTGCGTTGCCAGTATTCGTTCCTGCATCGCTAGTACTTTTTTATCCAATCTAATGGGATACGCTTTGACCACTCTACCATACTTCATTATCACGTACATGATGTTGTCCATCTTATTTTCATTAGACCAATTAATTCCGATGTTCCAATCCATCACCTTTCGTAACACTATCGTGTTATTACGTTGAATGTTTAGGTTTTAATCTTTTCTTCCCACCTCTGGTAGTGTTGTGGAGCCAGGGAGACTATGATTAGAGTTTTCAACGGGATCTTTATTGACGCTGCCAAATCTTCCTAGGTTTTTTTTTGCATCACTGAATTGGCTGTATAATTTTAGAGCCATATTGGGCTCTAACTGTTCAGCGATGCTCGGCATCTCTTCCTCCGAGTCTGACTCATCGTCTGACAAACCATAGAAGAGATTGTCTTCATCTTCCCAGTATTCGTCTTCTAAACAATCATCTAATAAACAAAGAAAATAGAAAATGTAGAATAAAAATATAGAATGTAGAAAAATTGGCTGTATAATCTTAGAGCCATATTGGGCTCTAACTGTTCAGCGATGCTCAGCATCTCTTCCTCCGAGTCTGACTCATTGTCTGACAAACCATAGAAGAGATTGTCT